GTAGTGCCCAATATGTTGCTATGTGTGCGTATGATTCGCATGTCCAAAAACGGTATGCTGTTATCAACCTCCAATTCACATGTAAATTGAAGGTGAGGATCAACGCTGTTGAAGACTGATAAGGTGCTTAAAATCTTATCAGGTGGTGTTGCTAGGATCAGGTCGTCGACATAACGCTTTACAAAGGGAACCTGGAAATCCAACTTACTGATACTCTCATTGATAAGGTCGTCGAGTACGAAATTAACTAGAATGGGGGAGATGGACGATCCCATGGGAGTTCCAAAAATTTGACGATAGTATTTTTCATTAAAAATTAGAAAATTGGTGTCAAACGCCAGTTTTAATAATTCCGAGAATGTTTCCCACGATATTGGACTGTGTGGTTGGATTTCATTCCAATGGTTTCGGAGTGACGTGACGACACTAGAGAGTGGGAGGTTAGAAAACAGGGATACTACGTCGAAGCTTACTAAGACATATTCTCTTGGTAACTGATAATTATTGATAAATTCACTGAACTGGAAAGAGTCTACTATGTTGAAATCGTTCTTGTAGTTGTATGCTTGTGAAAGAATGTCCGTTAAGAATTGGGCTAAATTCGTGTTAGGAGCGTTGATTGAAGATAATATAGGACGCATACTCAGTTGGGGCTTGTGAATTTTAGGAAGACAATAGAACCTAGGGGCATTGCCATTATAGTTATGGAGAGATTTGGCTAATTTATCATCGATGATTTTTTTGTTTTTTAGTTCAGTGATGAATTTATTGATTTTATTTGTGTAAGTTGATGTTGGATTGCGGGGAAGTGGCTGATAATATTTATTGTCATCTAGAAGTTGTTGGCTCAGGTTTAGGTATTGCTCTCTCATCATTAGTACTGTTGCATTACCTTTGTCACTGGTTAATACCATCAGGTCAGGGTGTTCTTTAAGGAATGTGGACGTTTGCTTATAGACATCATCTATATCTGAGCTGGCATAGGGAGGTTTATGTGAAAAGTTGGTGAGAATATTATTAGCAGATGATCTTAATTCAAGGAGTTCATTGGCTTCCGAATGTGAAAGTATGTTTTCTATGTCAGCTACGAAATTGCATACGGAATAATCGTTAAGCGAGAGTTGTAGTCCGAACTTAGGTCCGAGAGATAGAAGTTTTAAGACATTTCTAGGGATTTGGATGTTTGTGAGATTTTTAATCCATTTATCGTGAAATGGTAGACGACTGAAAGGAGTGGACCCTAGATTATTTAATTTTGTTTGGAGGTGAGATAAGGAATTGTTTAGAAAAAAGGTATATTTTCTGAGAAGAGAAGTTTCATATTGATCCAAAATGTTGGAAGGTAGGAGAGGTTCAAGTTGGATGAATATGTTTGACATTTGTCGACGAATGAATGCTATATCGGAATGTACCGAAGAAATGTGGAAGTTCAATAATCGTGCTCTTACCTGTGTGTTGATGGCATCCGCTCTTCTTTTTAATTTGTTGGATAGTGTTCCCATGGTGGACTGCATCAGATGGTCGGTGCGATCGTTTAAGAACCTTGGGTATCTCTTCGTCTTTCTGCATTGAATCAGGAATGTCTTTTTTGCTTCAGTCCTCGCCAGTTTTTCGTTAAGTTTGCTCCATCTCTTGAGTAGTACGGTACAGTTAAAGCCATATTTTCGTTTGATGGTCACGAAAAAACCCTCTGTATAAGTAGACATTGTAAAAACTACGACCGTCAATTTATATTAATAAAGTATTCAACTAGTGAATTCAGAGGTTTATTCGGTCAGTCAGGTTGGCAAAATAAAAAACAGAAGTCAACTACTTCATAAGTTTATCGAAGACGTTTCGCTTTATATTTCTAAAGCTTCATCAGTTCTCTAAAATACAAAGATGACATAGAGTTTATAAGAAATACAGATCTAATGATTAATTACTTACAACTCAATATGTAGTATTAAAGATGTTATCGTATATGTACTTAAGTTTACTCATAAATTTAGAACTAACTTAAAAAAAATTAAACAGAAATATGCAAAAAATAACATTCGCAGAAACGAAGATTTACAAAAACTTCAAACGTACATTTGGCTTCATTTAGAGATGGTTCTCCAATGAAGACAAACAAAACACTGATTTATTGGAATCTACGCAAAACGACGTGGCGCGATACCGAAAATGTTTTTCAAGGGCCATATGTTTTCAACACATTCCAAGGTTTGAGACAATTATGAACTTCTACGGGGGTCATTGAAAGAATAGTTGGACGGGTGGATTTGTAACGGAAAAATTTGATATGATTTTTTTTTTTTTTTTTTTGTAATTTATGTTTTAATGAAACTTAGAGCTTTGGGATGATTATGTTATTGTTTTGAATGGAAAATCCGGCTATTTTAAATTATGAATATTGGTATTATTTATTTCGTAAGATGAGAGAGTGGTAAACCTGGCTCAAATTGTCAATGTCGGTTCTTTTGTTTATTGCAGATGGGTTTTTTAGGATCTCACACATTTCAATAAAGGAGCGTTTTTGATGGTTATTTTGTTTGGCCAGTATTTTGGTATTTGAGAAGTCAATGTGATGTTTGGTGGAAATGGCGTGTTGTGCAAGGGCACAAGAGGGTTTGGAAAGTCTAATGTCGCTTTTATGTGAAGTTATACGCCCTAGAAGTGAACGACTGGTTTGGCCAATGTAGCAGGAATTGCATTCAGAACAGGGGATTTGATAGACAACATTAGTGTGCTCTAACGAGCTTAGTGGAGTTTTGGACTTGGAGAATATGTCTTAGTAAGCTTCGACGTAGTATCCCTGTTTTCTAACCTCCCACTCTCTAGTGTCGTCACGTCACTCCGAAACCATTGGAATGAAATCCAACCACACAGTCCAATATCGTGGGAAACATTCTCGGAATTATTAAAACTGGCGTTTGACACCAATTTTCTAATTTTTAATGAAAAATACTATCGTCAAATTTTTGGAACTCCCATGGGATCGTCCATCTCCCCCATTCTAGTTAATTTCGTACTCGACGACCTTATCAATGAGAGTATCAGTAAGTTGGATTTCCAGGTTCCCTTTGTAAAGCGTTATGTCGACGACCTGATCCTAGCAACACCACCTGATAAGATTTTAAGCACCTTATCAGTCTTCAACAGCGTTGATCCTCACCTTCAATTTACATGTGAATTGGAGGTTGATAACAGCATACCGTTTTTGGACATGCGAATCATACGCACACATAGCAACATATTGGGCACTACGTGGTACAGGAAAGAAATGGCGAGTAACCGGTTCTTAAACTACCACTCTACACACCCGATGAGATACAAACTTAACCTTGTACAAGCTCTTAGCTTTAGAGTACACACGTTGACCCATACGCGGTACAAGAGGGAATCTTTGGATTTACTCAAATCCATCCTCATTGATAACTCTTACCCCATATCCATCATCAACAGACATCTTTTCTCTAAAAGCTACGGTCATTCTATTTCTGAAGCACCTAACGGTGCAATACTAGCCTCCATATCCAATAGCTTACAGACTGACAATTCCCCGCTAACCCCGAAACCAGCCACAAAATATGCTTCTCTTCCATATTTCCCACAAGTTACGAACAAGCTTACTAAACTATTCAAAAACTTACCCGTCAAAATATCCCTAAAAAACACTAAAACTATTGGAAAGTTATTCTCCAAGTCCAAAACTCCACTAAGCTCGTTAGAGCACACTAATGTTGTCTATCAAATCCCCTGTTCTGAATGCAATTCCTGCTACATTGGCCAAACCAGTCGTTCACTTCTAGGGCGTATAACTTCACATAAAAGCGACATTAGACTTTCCAAACCCTCTTGTGCCCTTGCACAACACGCCATTTCCACCAAACATCACATTGACTTCTCAAATACCAAAATACTGGCCAAACAAAATAACCATCAAAAACGCTCCTTTATTGAAATGTGTGAGATCCTAAAAAACCCATCTGCAATAAACAAAAGAACCGACATTGACAATTTGAGCCAGGTTTACCACTCTCTCATCTTACGAAATAAATAATACCAATATTCATAATTTAAAATAGCCGGATTTTCCATTCAAAACAATAACATAATCATCCCAAAGCTCTAAGTTTCATTAAAACATAAATTACAAAAAAAAAAAAAAAAATCATATCAAATTTTTCCGTTACAAATCCACCCGTCCAACTATTCTTTCAATGACCCCCGTAGAAGTTCATAATTGTCTCAAACCTTGGAATTTGTTGAAAACATATGGCCCTTGAAAAACATTTTCGGTATCGCGCCACGTCGTTTTGCGTAGATTGCAATAAATCAGTGTTTTGTTTGTCTTCATTGGAGAACCATCTCTAAATGAAGCCAAATGTACGTTTGAAGTTTTTGTAAATCTTCGTTTCTGCGAATGTTATTTTTTGCATATTTCTGTTTAATTTTTTTTAAGTTAGTTCTAAATTTATGAGTAAACTTAAGTACATATACGATAACATCTTTAATACTACATATTGAGTTGTAAGTAATTAATCATTAGATCTGTATTTCTTATAAACTCTATGTCATCTTTGTATTTTAGAGAACTGATGAAGCTTTAGAAATATAAAGCGAAACGTCTTCGATAAACTTATGAAGTAGTTGACTTCTGTTTTTTATTTTGCCAACCTGACTGACCGAATAAACCTCTGAATTCACTAGTTGAATACTTTATTAATATATATATATATATATATATATATATATATATATATATATATATATATATATATATATATATAATTAGAATATAAAGGAAATATTAGAAGTAGGTTGTCTGGCGATTTAGACTTTTTAACCATACCAAAACCATCAGCTTTTGACTACTTCAGTTCTTAAGTTACGGTGCGTGAGTACCTACTCGGCTGTTGATTTTCGGCTATAAGGTCAAAGTATTTTCTTTTTCTTTTAATTCTGTTTGAAATATCAACTATATAAAATATTTTAACAATCAATTTTATTTTCAGACTAGACTTGCAGTATATGCAGCTCTACAAATAGCAATGTTTAGTAACGAAAGACCAGAAACTAGAAATTCATATTTAACATGTTTAAAATCAGCTGCAATTGCATTCCCGACCGAAGTGAAAACGAACATTTTGCAAAATGTTAATTGTGAACCTCAATTAATTGATTCCTTATTAAGTTCGTTGATTGTTTTAGTTCATTTAAAGGAATTTAAGGACTATGTCATTAATACATTCGTGGAAGCTCTTAAAAATATGGAGCTGTCTTCAATTGCGATTAAAAATTTGAAGTGTTTGGTAGAACGCTTCAAGGAACAAAATAATACTCGTCTTCTCAAAGAACTAATAACCTATAACATACTAGATATTTTAGTAGAGTTAGTTTTAAGGAAAAACAGTGCAGATAATGAAGTATCAGATGTATCCAAAATTTTAAAAGTTGTGATATCTCCGCAAACAACTGACTTGCAAATAGCTATATATGAAAAATATTTTGAAAGTATATTTGACAAAATTTCTCATTGTGATTTGAATCTGGTCATAATGGATGGCTTGGTGTCAACGTTGAGACAAAATGTGAAAGTAGATTATAAGTTACTTAATATCTGTAGAGCTTTTAGTATAGAAAGTCAGAAGGATATTGTTAGAAATACTGCTTGTGAACTATTGGCCAATTTGGTTAACAAAAAAGACGATGGTAAGTTTTTTATTTTAAATTTCAATACAATTATGATAATGTCGAAAGAAAATTCAAAAAAGTATTTTTGAAGTGTGTATATTTTAGGCAATTCCTAGCTGAGCGCTGAGTAACAAAAAACAAAATTTGTTAATTTACTAAAGTTTGTATTTTGAGAACGATTTCCGAAGTGGAAATATGCGTACTTTAACCTTTAATTGTGGCTTATTTCTATTTAAATAGTAATTACATAATTGATTTACTATATTTGTTGTGACATTTCGATTTCCAACTCGGAAATCGTGTTCAAAGAATTCTGAATGAAAACATTGGGAAAACATAAAAAAAAAGTTACGATTGCTTTATTTGGAGTACCGGACTTCTTAGTGGAGTTTAATTAAATTGTACTATTTGATACAAAGATCTGACGGGCAAAAGCCAGAGACAAGTAGTTTCCCCATAAGCAAGGAGGAGAAAAAATGTCCATTATCATAATTAATCAATCAAAAGACTGATATTTTTTTTGTACACACTTATGACAAGTCGAAAGAAAATTCAAAAAAGTATTTTTGAAGTGTGTATATTTTAGGCAATTCCTAGCTGAGCGCTTTCGGCTTTACAAAGCCATCATCAGAGCTATGCTACAATAAAATGTACTTATAAAAATTATAATCTTCACCAATTAGTACTTAAATTAATAAGTACTTGTTTAGTAATAGTACTTGTTTAAATAGAATTTAAAAAAACAATCTCTATTTCCTATATATGACATTTGTCAACTGTCACTTTTGAAAAATCGTTTAAAAGGACGACATTTGATTTCATTAGTTCTATTCTGTCTACATCCTCACATCAATCAATGGTCGGGTTCCTACACCCGTACCATGACAAAAATTTTTTCAATTTTTTAACTTGTTTGTGAAGTCCAGTGTCGGCTTTTTATATGTTTTAACAAATTTCAACAACTAAAAAAATCATTATTTTTGAAATATAAGGAAATGAGATCTCTCCTTTGTAGTGGTATTTAAAAATTGACGTAAGTTAAAAATTATAATCTTTACCAATTAGTACTTATAAGAACATTTTATTGTAGCATAGCTCTGATGATGGCTTTGTAAAGCCGAAAGCGCTCAGCTAGGAATTGCCTAAAATATACACACTTCAAAAATACTTTTTTGAATTTTCTTTCGACTTGTCATAAGTGTGTACAAAAAAAATATCAGTCTTTTGATTGATTAATTATGATAATGGACATTTTTTCTCCTCCTTGCTTATGGGGAAACTACTTGTCTCTGGCTTTTGCCCGTCAGATCTTTGTATCAAATAGTACAATTTAATTAAACTCCACTAAGAAGTCCGGTACTCCAAATAAAGCAATCGTAACTTTTTTTTATGTTTTCCCAATGTTTTCATTCAGAATTTTTTGAACACGATTTCCTAGTTGGAAATCGAAATGTCACAACAAATATAGTAAATCAATTATGTAATTACTATTTAAATAGAAATAAGCCACAATTAAAGGTTAAAGTACGCATATTTCCACTTCGGAAATCGTTCTCAAAATACAAACTTTAGTAAATTAACAAATTTTGTTTTTTGTTACTTGATAAAAAAATTCTTTTAATAATTTAATTTATTTCTCATTTATATCGACAATTCAGACATACATTATACATTTTAAAGTAGACGACTTTAAAATGATATTTAAAATGTATAATGTATGTCTGAATTGTCGATATAAATGAGTCAGAAATAAATTAAATTATTAAAAGGATTTTTCCACCAAGTAACAAAAAAAAATTGTTTAATTTACTAATGTTTGTATTTTGAGCACGATTTCCGAAGGGGAAATTGAAACGTCAATAAACTTCAACCTTTAATTGTGGCTTATTCCCATTTAAATAGTAATTACATACTTTAAAATGCCGCAAGAAAATAGCTTCAGAACAAATCAACTATGGTTTAATCTCATAGTTTATCTGTATGACACTAGCGCGATGGAGTTGGTTATAAGACTTCCAACGCAGTCTGTGCAATTCTACCTTTGACTGCTTGTAGAACCTGAGACTCAAGTCGCCGGCTGCTTGGAGTCCAGAATTTCCCAGCGCTCCATCCTGACATATTTATTTTGTTCATAAAGACCAGCTTATGTCCCTACTTGTAGTCTCTGGAAGGTACGCAAGCACACGTGTGGATTTAGGAAGTCGTTCAGCCTTAAAAAGTTTCCACTTCGTTTTCAAGAAAGTCTTCTGTGATGCTAAGGCAATCTTGTTTAGCACATATAATTCAAAGTGCCCATACATGAGTCGACTTCCCTTTGAGGATCACATGCGGCTTTGCCGATAAATTTTTTTAGTGCATCTTTTATGAGCCGTGTTTCGGGCAGCATTTTGTCCAAGTAGCTCTTTAGGATAATCTACCATAATCTTTTGGGTTGGAAGTTGCAGGTTTGTTCTTTTTAGTAATATTCATGTCGTGAGTGGTAAACTTATTAGCAGCATGTGTCACATCAATTCTCCTGAATTGGGCAGCATATGAAAAACTAGTAAATATCTTTAAGGGTAATGTCTCAATTTCATTAAAACAGAATACCGTTTATTATTTTAAAGAAGACTTATGATGAACACTGGATGTAGCGAGTTGGATAAGAATTGAGGAACCAATCTTTGTTGTTTTTGTTTTCACCAGTATTGGGTAGTGGGCGGTAAGATTGGATCTTAAGTATTACACAGAAACATTTATCTTCTGCATAACCTTTCCGGATATTGGCGACCGTTGGGGCAATTTTGGGTGCTTCTGTTTAAAGCTGTTTGAAACAGGTCTATGGTCGTCATATTGAATTAAGTTTTTAGATTACGGAGCCAGGAAAAACGTTGTCTACCCGAATTTCTTTTACCAAATACTTTCCCTTTAATAACAAACTGAAGTAAGCCATACCTTTCATTATTTTTCATATGTCCGAAATACTTTTATGTTCGCTCTTATGGTGATAAGCACTTCACTTTCTTTTATCATTCTACGGAAAACTTAAGAATTCGTCACTTAATTAATCCATGAGATTCGTTTTGCAGTATGCGTTTATAACTTCAAATTTCACAAGCCTCGAGCTTCTTCATATATGCCTCATATGCCTGTTGTTAGACATATGTTTCATATGCTTCAATTCATCTTAATAAATGCTAATCTGGCGTTTAGTATCTGATTTTTATCTCTACAGAATGGTAACATCTATTATTTAGATTTATATCCAGATACTTATAACTCTAGACTTTTTCAGTTGGTTAATTGTTTATCAATAGCTAAGTATATATTATTGGGTGGTTACTGACATTCATGTCTTATATATTGGTTAGACGGGCTAGATTTTCAGATCTAACCCATATAACTTCTGGTACGCGACTCAGTTTGTAGCGCTGCTATACTATCTGATAACTAGAATGTATCTTCATTATTTGAATTCTCTCGTTGACATCTATTACGGAATATTTGAAGATCTTTGCGGATCATTTATTAAAGATAAGATCGTACCTTTGTCGAACTATCAGTAGTAGTAAAAGTAGTTCTTGGATCTAGAAAAGAAGTTGTTAAAAACAAAGATATTAGGGATTATATTGTTAGTGTTTGATTCAAATTTAGCCTTTACTGTCAGATTATAATCATTATTATTAATTTGCATCTCAATGTTGCCCTCTTCCTCTGAAAACAACTCAAACTCATCTTCTTATATAAATAACAATAAATCACAAACTCTAAATAAAAATTATATCTGGAAGCTATGCCACCATAATAATATAATAACAAACCTCGCCTATTGTCAAATTTAATTGGTTCTAAATAAATTTCTCATAGGTACCGCTTATGATCTTCTACAGCTACCATAAAGCTCTAGAAAGTAGTTCTTCTTCTTCGGGTTCCTTCTCCTAGCGGAGGTTGGAAATCATCATCGCTATTTTAACTTTGTTGGCCGCATTTCTGAATAATTCTAATGAGCTGCAGCCGAACCACTCTCTCAAATTTCTTAGCCAGGACATTTTGCGTCGTCCTGGGTTTCTCTTCCCTTGTATCTTCCCTTGCATAATCAACCTCAGTAATACGTACTTCTCACCCCTCATTAAATGTCCCAGATATTGAATCTTTCTAATTTTAACAGTTTTTATGACTTCACATTCTTTCTTCATTGTTTGTAACACCTCTATATTAGTTAATTTTTCAATCCACGATATTTTATGCATTCTCCTGTAGCACCACATCTCAAAGGAGTTTAATTTTTTGATTTCTTCTTCTTTGGGTGCCGTCTTCAATGAAGGTTGGCGATAACCTTAGCAAAATCATTTCTGTCCCTGGCTTTTCTTATTAAAGATTGACAATCCAAACCAGTCCACTCACGAATGTTCTTCAACCAGGACGCCTGCCGTCTACCAGGACCACGTTTTCCTTCTACCTTCCCCTCTATAAGAAGCTGCAGTAGCTGGTATTTTGATTTGATTTGATTTTTGATTTCAGACCGCTTTATTGTCCACGCTTCCATGCCATATAGTAAAGTAGAGAAGACGTAACAACGTAGCATTCTTGTGCGAATCTCTAGATTAAGGTTACGGTTGCAAAGTAATTTCTTCAATTTTATGAACGTGTTTCTTGCCATTTCTATTCTAGATCTGATCTCCTTTACTTGATCTCCATCTTCGGTTAGCCACGTTCCTAAATATTTATATGTTTTTACTCTTTCTATCGTTGTATTATTGATGATCAGGTTATTTACATTTTGTGGTTTTTTTGAGAATATCATTGATTTCGTTTTCTTGAGATTCATTTGCAGTCCGTAACTTTCACATGCATTGTATACATGTTGTATTATGTACTGTAGATCTTCCATGTCACTTGCAAATATGACAGTATCGTCGGCATATCTAATATTATTAATGCTATTTCCGTTGACATAAATACCTTCCACGATATCCAATAAAGCCTCTTGAAAAATCACTTCACTGTAGACGTTGAATAAGAGTGGTGAAAGGATACAC